CTGGGACTGCTTCATCCCCTCCTCATCCTCACTGAGCACACCTGGGACTGCCCTGACCCTCCTCATCCTCATTGACCACACCTGGGGCTGCTTCATCCCCTCCTCATCCTCACTGACCACACCTGGGGCTGCTTCATCCCCTCCTCATCCTCACTGACCACACCTGGGGCTGCTTCATCCCCTCCTCATCCTCACTGAGCACACCTGGGACTGCCCTGCCCCTCCTCATCCTCACTGACCACACCTGGGGCTGCCCTGACCCTCCTCATCCTCACTGACCACCCCGGAGCTGCCCTGGACACTGATTTTCATAGGAATGTCACTAAATCCCACTCTGAGTCTCAATAAATGGAACAAGCCTTGCTGCTATTCACATTACATATGAAGCTGCCTAATATGGAAAAAAATCGGAGGGAAAATGTAATTTATAGGGATTTGTACGGAGTTTATAGGGACTGCTGCTACAGAGGGCGCCTGGGGTATGGTGTGGGCGAAAACCCGGACTGGATTTCCTGGAGTAGGGAATGGGGTAAACGCGGGACTGGATCTTACCAGAACACGGAATGGGGGAAAACCTGGACTGGATTCCGGCTCGATCCCGGAACGGGTGTCCAAGACGTCGCTTGCACAGAGCCGTAGAGCGGAGCGCACACCCGCGGCACCGAAAGAGCAAACCGGCGGAAAGGCGGCTCCCTACGGGCCCGCTCGTGCCCGCGGGAGGAGCGGAAGCTGCGGCGCGCCCTCCCGCTCGGGGCGGGGCCATGGCGGGGCCCGGCGGCGCGGCGCGGGGCCGCTTCGCCGTGGTGGGCGGCGGCATCGCGGGGGTGACCTGCGCCGAGAAGGTAACGGGGCGCTCCCTCCGTTCCTCCCCGCCGGCCGGGAAGTGTCCGCAGGGATGTGGGAGGCTCCCCCAGCCCGGGGCGGCCTCGGGCTGCCGGGCCCTTGGCGGCCCCGTGCCTGCAGCGGCCGGGAGCGCCCCGCTGCCCGCGCTTGTGCACGGCCATCGAAACTGATCCACACTCTAATCGCATCAATATTCGCATGTGATGCTTCCTTACTCTGCCCTACACTCCCCGCTTCTTAAAAACAATAATTTGTCTCGCTGGACAAAACACAAGCCAAGCGCAGCAGTGGTGTAACGTAAGGATGTTTTTCTGTGTAGAAGTCTCCAGATGTTCAAAGTTGATAAGGTTATTTTGAAGCAGTTCGTGAAACGTTTCATAAAGAGAGTTACGGCTCTCTGTGCCCTGCTCCAGAGGTCAGGGACTCGGGATCCCTGCAGGAATTATTCTAAAGGACTGTGCTGCAGCCGGGCTGAAGGCTGCTGTGATGTGTTCCTTTTTATTAGTGCTGCTCAGTTTTTATATGCTCCTTGTTTTAGAGCTGTATACCTCTTCCAGCTCTCGGTGAGCCCAAGCTCTAAAAATAAATTCATCTGTTTCTTGGCCTCAAGGTTTTTGATGGTTTTAAATAACAGTTCCTGTAGAATAAAATTTGCACCTGTAGAATGAAATTATGTGGCTATTAGTTTGATGAGGACTGTTTTATCTACTAGGGCTGCAGAGCAGCATACAGACTGTGTTTTGGAGGCACGTGTTCTCTGGTGATTTCAGGGTCCCTCTGGTTGGCATCCCTTCCCCCCGAGAGCAATACTTGTCTTGGTCTGACTGTCACCTTGCTGAGCATTGCACATTTAAAATGGGAGTCCTTCCCTTTGCCTTGGGGCCTCATAAGTCTTGAATTGCTTAATAGCACCCTGAAGATGATCAGTTTACTAGATAGGATATAAAATGTCCAGGAGAAATCAGCATTTCATTTGTGAAAATGAAACCAGAAAGCAATCAGTCACTGCTATGCAGTGAAAAAATGTGTATCCACCAACTGGGTGTCTCCAGAAATCACATGATCACAGTCTGATCCATCAGATGGCCTTTGGAATATTGTGACAATAATCCTTTACACTGTGGCTGCAGTTCTTGAAGGTATATCTATGCGTGATTGAAATAAATGTTGTGTCTCCAAATTCTCTTCAGTCCTTATCCTTCTGTTATCCTGAAGTAGTGTTTTTTCAATAAGATTCTACAAAATCAAAGTAATGTATTAACATACTGCTTTTCACCAGTAGTTTTACTGTGTTCAAGTCTGATGATGACTCTCATCATGGTTTCTGTTTCTTTACAAGCTGGCTGCAGAGTTCCCATCAGAAGACATTTTTTTAGTGACAGCTTCCCCAGTTATAAAAGCTGTAACTAATTTCAAGCAGGTAAGAGAGACTTGATTTTTCCTACAGTAAGACATGTTCAAAGTTTACTTGTGCAGATAATATACAACCAGTGGTGAAGATGCTCACGACTTTGAGCTTGTTTTCATATTAGTGTGATTGCAGTGGTGTTAGTAATACTGATGAGCTATTTTACAGAAATTAGTAATTGGTGAATATATTCACACCATTCAGGCAAAGGTTAAACCAGGTACTTACATGGCTGAAGTGTGCTTACTGAAACTTTATTTCATTGCTTTATTAGTGAGTGACCTCTCAGAAGCACTGAAATGGTATCATAGTATTGCTCATGTTTGAATTTGGGGCAGAAACAGCCTGCTGACAAGCAGCAAAAGAAGGGATAGCCTTCTGGGGAGTTGCTTTGAGCTTTGTCTGCTCCAGCAGGTGCTGATTCAGTGACATCTTTCCTGCTGGTTTTAAAAAGAAAATCAAATGCATGCATGGATTCAGATTTGTGGCTAGTAGGGTCATGAAGCTGAGTCTGGGAGCCCTCTGTGGGATTGTTGGAGTAACACCCAACTTTCAGAATGCTTTCTGAAAGTGCTGAGTGTCCAGTAGAGACATTTGCACAGCACAGAGATGTAAAGTCTGTAATTCACATCAGTGGAAATTCACATATCTGAAAAATAAGGGAACAGCTAAGCACTATTGGAAGGCAGCAGCATATAAATTTTGGACATGAGCATCGTAATTTCTCTCTGAATTGCAAGCATCGTATGGCTTCTGGCTCCTAACTGTGTTCCAAACTCTGAATCTTCAATGAAGTAACAGACCTGGATGTTTCCATGCAGCCACTCTCTTTTGGATAAAACACAAAATTGTCATCATCATTTGAATGTTTTTCAAATTCTGGCTTGCATCTTTGGGGGTTTAATTTGGTTTATGCTTGTTTTCTATTTGATGTCCATTTCCCATGAGGTCTCTGAAATATCAGGTAGTGGCTTGGGATGAGTTATTTTATCAAAATTACAAAAAAGAGAAAAACAAGGATTTTAACACTACATCACAGTAGTGTCAAAAAGAAAAAGCAGTGTTAACTTTTTTAATACACTTCTTTATGGAATGAAACATTGTAGCAGTTAGAACAACTGCCAGGGTTCTCCATTTTTGCTTAATCTCTATCTTTAGAATTAACATGTAGTACTTTGACTCTTCAACCAGGAACAGGCATGAAAAGATTCTGTATTGAAAAATAAACTAGCTGTTACATGATAACACATTTTCAGACAATATGGGCTTTATGTTGTGACTTTTTTACTATAAATGAACACAGCACCTTCTGTCAAAAGCTTTAGAAGAAGAAATGGGTAATGATCCATATTTTTAAATACTTCTCTTTTCTCCTACAGGTGTCCAAAACACTTGAGGAATTTGATGTCGAAGAGCAACCAAGTTCCCTATTAGAAAAACGATATCCCAATATTAGAGTTATACAATCTGGAGTAAAACAGCTGAAAAGTGATGAACACGTAAGCCAAGGTTTTCTTTTTTATTTCGTTTTTCAAGTTATGTATATAAAAATAAGAAGTAGCTGAATGTTTTGGGTAAGAAATTTTCTTCAAGAATATTTTGGTTATTGAATTGATAAGTTACCAAAATTACAAGAAAATACTTTCTAATTCTAATTTCACTTACTGCTTTACACTGTTTTTCTAGTAGAAATATATACAGAGGATGAAAGAAATCTTGAAAAAAACATTTCCACTTTTTTTTTCTCTCTGTTTAGCATAAATATACATAGAGATCAAAAAAAAAAAATCGTGAAAGAACCAACATTTCCACCTTTTCTTCCTTCTGTTTAGCAGGAAATACGTTGCAAATATGAGCAATGGACAGCATGTACACACCCTTGTTAGCTCTGTGTCAAAACATTATTTTCCACTTCAGCATGTATGAGAAACTCACATTCACATCCCAAACTGGTTTTGCTCACTTTTAAGGTTTGGAGATGTAATTCCAGGTAGATTCTGCTAACATTCTGAATCCAATGGTTTTCTTATTTTACTAGGATAGTATTTTAATATAGGTCTTGGTGGACACAAATAATTAATCTATGTGGGTTTGGAGGATCTTTTGCCCAAAACCACTTTAAACTATGCAGCTTCTAGATTGCAGAACAACAAATAATGTCATAAAATATTAAAATTTAAGGTCTTGTTTCTCAGAATGACATAGCTTGTTTAGTGCCTCCACTTTTTCTTCAGCAAAGAACAGATTTGCAGTCTTTCTAAACTGCGTCCTATCCTGTGCCTTGTTAACTCAGAGCTACTGCTGTTGAAATGTTTGATTGAGATTGTCAATTGCTAATGTACAGCAGTTCATAGTTCTGTTCCTGGGGCCTGAGGGACATTTGTCCCATAGAAAATACAGAACTCTTTTAGCACAGCCACTGAGTACAAAGTGCCACCAAGTGGTAAACTTGATCTAGCTTTGAGTGCACTGTGTACAGTTCCCATTTTATTGTTCACTTATTTGTGGTGAGTGTGGTGGGAATAAGTGACACACAATCAGGAGGAATATGAAGCCTTGTTCCTTAAGAAGCCCCTTACAGATTTTCATATCTGCAAATTACTGTGACATTACAGAAAGAAAGCTGATGTGCTCTTAGTTGTCTTCATTTAGATGAATTCTCTTAGGGGAATTGATTTTTCTTCTCTCTTCACTGTTAACAGAAAATTTACACTGAAGATGGGAAAGAATACATATATGAAAAACTCTGCCTGTGTGCTGGAGCCAAACCAAAATTAATTGTTGAAGGGAACCCGTATGTATTAGGAATCCGGGACACTGACAGTGCACAGGTGAATGTGTTTAGGACTTAAAAATGTGTAATATATTCCTGCATCTGGTGCAAAATAACAGAATTATTGTGGAGTGAAATGGAGAAACGGAAAATAATAATTGTTACTATATATTCTTAAATAGGAACATTTTCACTAGCAGAAAAACAGCCTTATAATGCCACCAAATTAATGTCACTATATTTGTTAAGTTTATAGATAGCTCATACACATTATTCCTAACATGATAATATGGAATAAACAATGTTTTTTTCACCCTCCAGTCAGAATCCAATTGGAAAATATAAAGAAAGTTCCCTGGGAAGGTATGTGTGATACCTGCTACAAAGGGCTGCTTCATACAGTGGAAAGCTACTGAAGGAATGACTTTTTATTCTTTTGTTGTTCTACTGTAGCTTCTCCTCTTTGTACAGAAAAGAGTAACAAATAGTTAAAGATGTGGAAAAGTTGTCACCTAAGAAATAACTTAATAGACTAAAAATTAAGCTTGGGAGGCAAAGGTGAAGTTTCACTGCTACAGGTCTTCAGAATTAGAGGAGGCAGGGTGAGCACTGCTGTTCTGTAACATGGAGCTGCCATTCATCAAATGAAGCTGGACCTTAAGGATAAAAAAGCAGTTATACTTTCAAAGAATCTGAAGTGAAACTGAAATTGTTGTTTGTTACAACAGCAGCTTCTGGTACAGGTCTCAGCATAGCTAGATGTGCATCAATAGTCTGGGAAAAATCAAGATTAAGAGCAAGAAAATACTGGAAAGGATATAGTTGATCAGTGTGAGGAAACATGCTCTAAGTGACATTTTTTTCTTTCTTAATGCAGGCTTTTCAGAAGAATTTGGCTCATGCTGAGAGAATAGTGGTGGTAGGAAATGGTGGGATTGCCCTTGAATTAGTGTAAGTGAACAAAAAATACAGAAAATATTGAACAATGCAATGCTAAGTCTAGTGTACACGAGTTGGAGAAGGTTGACTTATACAATTTTATCTCTTAGAGCATTTAGTAGCAAAACTGATTACAGGGTTGGTTTTGTTTGGTTTTTTTTTTGCAACATAGTGTTTTTTACTGACACATAAAATTAGGAAACCTCCAGAAGAAGCTTTGACACATAGATATCAAGAATATTCAGTTCATGTTCCACATAGTGCAAACAAGATCCAAATGCTGGTTTTTTAACAGTAGGAGTCTGGCAAAAATGCACTTACTTTTCATTATGGTGAGCAGAAAGACTAATTACTAGTATTATAAATTTGAGCTGCCCCCCATCCCCTACCCCAGTTTAGTCAAGGTTGTGTTGGTGAGAAAATATGACTTGTCAACTTGAAGAGATTTTTTTTTTTAAATGGGTTCCTTATGTAAATATTTAGAAGTGGATTTGATAGGTTGGAAAGTCTTGGATCCCCTGGTTCTGGCTTCTGGACACACTGCTGCTTGTGTTGCTAACAGTCAGATCCTTCTCAGGCAGTCTGTCACTTTATCCCTTGTTTAAATGCCCACAGGTATGAAATTCAAGGCTGTGAAGTAATCTGGGCTATCAAAGACAAAGCCATTGGGAACACTTTCTTTGATGCAGGAGCAGCCGAATTCCTCCTTCCAAAGCTCACTGCTGAAGGCCAAGAGACTCCAATTGAGTGTAAAAGAACCAAGTACACAGTGGAAGGTATGGGGTTTAGCTTCCTGACACTGCAGCAGCAGCATTTCATATTAGTCTTAAAATAAGTCAATTTAAGCAGCTTGGAATAAGGCTTACTGTTACCATCAATGACATTTCTTTCTTCAAAAACTGAGAGTAAAAAAGCAACATAAAAAACCATCCCAAATTTATGTAGACAGAATGTAATACAGTTTCCTGTGAGCTGTAAAAAAGTGCTTACCTTTGTGCCAAATTTATATTAATTCCCTGCATTCCTTCAGCTGAAGAACTTGTTCTATTTTTTGTAATGTTTTGATGTGAACTCACCATTATATAGGGAGGAGCTGTCACATAGTAAGATATTGGAGGAGCAGATGAAACCACACTCCAACTCACAGGTGCAGTGAAACTGCAGTCTCAGAAAGAACAATTAACTAGCACTGCATGAACAAACATCACACAAACATATGTATGACCAAAATCATAACAAAAAGAAGAGCGTGGCTCTAGACATCAGGCAGGAAGAATAAGGATATTAGACTAGATGGTATTTTTCTATTAATTGAGAATTCTTGTTCTGAATTCTGAAGACAAGGCAGTATGCACACTAAATCTGATATACTCCATGTCTTTGCTTCAGGAAGTGAGGAGAAAGGAAGACCTACAGGAGCATCTGACAAGCTGGGCAGTGCCTTAGGCCCCGACTGGCATGAGGGCTTACACCTTAAAGGGACTAAGGAGGTATGGGTATAACCTTGCTGGCATATTTATTTGAGTGTTGTGGGCATAAGCATTGGGAAGAGTTTGCAATAAAATCCTCACGTTTAATTTTTTTTTTCATTTATGAATTCCTGAGCTGTTAGGTGTTTGCGTCTGTTTTGCATTTAAAAAATGACCTGTCAAGGGTGATCAGTCATAGACCAACTAAAAGGACATTTAGGATATTTAGCAGTTTAATCAGTGGTGGTTTGGCTGTTGAAGGCTGTGGAACTGTATTTGCATAGTGAGAGAATAAAACAAGGCCCAAATTCACAAAACAATTTAGAGCAACAGTTAAGTTTCCAACTTCTGGCTTGAGCTCAGAATATGGTTGAAATGTGGGTTAATGGTACAGAATATTTTTTCTTTTTACAGTGTTTAGAACATATACTTATTATTGTTACCAGAATTTAATTAATGATAGAAAAACAAAGGATTTGCAATCCTGAAAGACAGAAAAGATGAGTTTAGTTTATTCTGTTAAGGTTTGAACTCTCTTCCTGAAGCTTAGGGGAACCTGAATATGTTTTCTAGCATTCCAGAAAAATCTAATTGTTAGGAATTTTCAAGGAACATCAGATACCTGTTGAAAAAGCAGGTAAATTGCCATTGGCTATGGTTAGACCTGTGGCAAAATGAGGAAAGTGTGGGAATCCAGTTAGTGGGCTGGGATATATTGTGGGGGGGTTTTCCACTTTAGTGGTATCAATTTAGGTGAAGATATCCTTGCTATTCTCAGTCTTGTGATCGCTAATCATTATGTTTATAATTCTGTCAATTTTTCTTTAGTTTTCTCATAAAGTACATATTGAAATACTGTGTGAAGTAAAGAAAATACACTTACAGCAAGAATTTATCCAACTGCAGTGGACTTCCTTGACTTTTCCTAAAGGAGAGAAAAATGTAGAAGCAGATGAGGGTGAGTGCCAGTGCTGATAAGACATTGAAGATGGATCGGTGCTGGAGCATGTTTGATCTTGTTTGCTGTTTTAAAGCAAATACAGTTTTGAAAAATAAATATTATATCTCTATAATCTGATGTCTAGCAGTTTACAATAATCAAATTTATGGGCTGCAATTAAATTGCAAAATGTTACGGGTCAGACACTTTTTTCCACAAAGTAACCAAAATTCTGTATGCAGAATATTCCATCCTAACACAATCCATTAAATATTTTAATAGTGAAGTTAAAGCAGGAGAAAAAAAAATCACACCAACGTTTTGTATCAAAACTGAAACAAACCTTCCAAGTAGAGGAAAATATTCCCTTTTCTTAAATGAATAATTATGCCTATAATTTTCACCTAATTAAAATGAATATTTAAAGTACTATTTTAGTAATCAGTTACTTTCAGCACAAGTCAAATCTGTGCTGTTCTTTTTGCTTTTGAGGCACTTCTGTGCATCTGTAAATTTCTACATAAAAGAATATTTGGCAACTTCATACTTGAGAGAGCATCCCACAGGACACAGAGGGCTTTAATTTAGGAAAATTCTAAGAAAGTTATTAGTAGGAGTGGAAGCTGAGATCCAAAATCTCTAGTTCTGAGCAATGGTAAGAATAGTTATGGGTAATCTCTGATAATTTTTTCCTTTTTAATCTTTCTTTACCTATTCAGGTACCTCTAAGGTTTTGTAGGGCTTTTTTCCTTTCATATCTTATCATAAGACATAATTAATAATATAACTTCAATTGGTTACATTCTCGGGACAAAACTTTCCTCTTTTTCAGTGCTGTGGCCTGTATATGTGGAATTAACTAATGGAAAAATTTATGGATGCAATTTCATTGTCAGTGCAACTGGAGTTGTGCCAAATGTTGAACCATTTCTGGATGGCAATAATGTAAGTATATTGGTTTCTTTTGAAGCTTTTCAAATAAGGTTAAAGAAACCTCTTCAACTGGTTTATGCTTGTGTTCTGATATGAAACATGGATTGCTAAAGATTTAAATACTGTGCACCATCTCAAAATAAGGCAGGTTATGTTCATAGTGAGATATCCAACACTATACAAGTGTATTTGATTTGTGGTCTTGGTTTATTATATTGTTCCCCAGGCATTTATATACAGTACATATGCAGTATTAAGCCTATGCAGAGAGAGAAAAGCATCTGTACAATTGGCTAATATGGCAGAAATATAGAATAATTTCCATGTTATAGACTATACCATAGTCTTACCTTACTAATCTTGACATTTGCTCCTGGAAAGGAAGCAACTATTTCCAGTACTTTTCATCTGGGACACTGAGCTGTCAAGGTGCTCATGTTCATTGAGAGAAGTCAGCACCCAAATGTGGATGGTAATTCCAGAGTTCATAACTGCCATGTGAATTTCCACACCTCAGGATCACTTTGTTTCTGTGTTCAGTGCCTGCTCAGCAACAACTAAAACATCCCTGGGTTATTAACACTGTTTTCATCACAAGTCCAACAAATAATCCCATACAAGCTACTACTAAAAAATGATCCCATACAAAACCAGCATATTGTGGTATTTCACGTTAAGTGATGCCATCTGATTAGGAAATAAAAGACTGTGCTCTGGTTACAGAAGGAAATGCTGAAAACATAGATCTGATGTTGAGCCATAAGATATTTCTAGGCCCATGCTATAAGCTTAGATCAGGAATTAAGTTTTTGCAATGGTATTTTCTTGCCTTGGCAAAAAAAGTCATCTCTTAAGACTGGGCATCCCTGTAACACACAGTGTGATTTGGAATTTGGCAAACCCTGTGACTTCCCTGCCTAGGTATCAGTCATAGTCCTTTAAAAACCTGTGCTGTGCTCTAGAAATAATAACATAAGTAATGTCTTGCACCTTCCATGGAGCTCTTGCCACTCAGCATAGTCACATGGTAAATAATAAAGGAACAGCCGATTGCTGAAGGGGGAGGGAGTTGGATGCCTTTCTGACTTGTTTCATTGCTGATGTGTGAACCCCTTCAGTTTGCTGTGGGTGAAGATGGAGGACTGAAGGTAGACAAGCACATGCACACGTCGCTGCCAGATGTGTTTGCAGCTGGAGATATTTGCACGGCAGCATGGGAGCCCAGCCCCGTGTGGCACCAGGTACGTCCTCACCCGTGTGACCCACGGAGAGTTACACACCAAGGAGGGAAAGGTTAAGCTAGTGGATAATCCCGGAGGGTTGGTAACTGAGTTTTGTGGAGGTGGCTGGAAACCAAGCTAGCCAACCCTTCTGAGTATTAAAAACCAAGTATTTGTTTGAGTACTCACTGCAGTGAGTGTGGTCATGGCACAGCGATGGTCTTGTGAGTTAAACCTGCCCAATTTCCTCTTCCAGATGAGGCTGTGGACCCAAGCTCGGCAGATGGGATGGTATGCAGCAAAGTGCATGGCAGCAGATGCTTTAGGGGAATCTATTGAGATGGATTTCAGCTTTGAACTATTTGCTCACATCACAAAATTTTTCAATTACAAGGTCAGTACAGTCTGATAGTTGTAAACCACTGAGTAACACATACTGCTTGCTTATATTCACTCACTGACACTGAGCAGATGCTTTGAGAAAACAGGTTTCTTTATATAGTAATTAATCCTAGCTTAGATTTTCTCCATTCATACTAATGTGTATGATATTTCAAGGGGAAGATTTTTGAGTCTATTGTGTGTTTGCAGGCCAGTGATGGGGGGAGGGACATTAGGGACAAATATTTTCCTGTTTGCATCACTTTTGAGGCCCAGAACTGTTACCAGCAAAAATGCTAAAAGGCACCGCAATGTTCTTATGAGAGCTTTTCTTTTTTCCTTCTGCTAGGTGGTGGTTTTGGGAAGGTACAACGCTCAGGGCCTGGGCTCAGACCACGAGCTGATCCTGAGATGTACCAAAGGCCACGAGTACGTGAAAGTGGTGATGCAGAACGGCCGAATGATGGGAGCTGTGCTCATTGGTGAAACAGACTTGGAAGAAACTTTCGAAAACCTAATTTTAAATCAAATGGATCTTTCAGCCTACGGTGAAGATCTCCTAAATCCAGATATTGATATAGAAGATTATTTTGATTGAACAATACCCCATTCCCATTCTGTATGAAGTTTTGATATCAAGTCATACATCTTAGAAAACTGTTTTCTCAGGATTACCAGAAATGAGGGATAAATGCAATCCTCTATTAAAGATTTTGGGTTGATCTTGCCAAAATACTGACTGATTACTGCCACAGGTACCAGCTAATGGTACAACCTTTGTCGAGGCTCAGATGAGCAGAGAACAATTTTAAGGCACAGGGTGCTCAGAGCTCCTGCTGCCTGGAATGTGGGTTGCAAATATATGACCTTACTCAGTTTTTTTTTCTCCTTTTCTTCCCCCCCATAAATTTACTTCTGAAATACATTTATTTGCTGCTCAGTTAACTACAGAACACAAGCTTTGCACAATGAAAGCCAGGATGAGATGTCAGTTGAAAGCAGCTTTTTAACTGCTTGCCCCTTCAGCTGTCCAGATGATGGGGTAGAGCTGCACTGTACTGGATAATGCCAGCCCTGGACAGCAGTTGTTTCATCCTGGCTTTTGATTTTGTTCTGCAGTTGCTGCCTGCAAGTTGCTATTTATTTTGGGTCAAATTTGGAACAATTTATTGTACTCAATACAAGGCTGGCAGTACATATTGAGACTTGTCCCAGACAAATCACTTAATGTTTTTTAGTAGAATGAGTTTTTAACTAAATTTTCAATTTTTGGCAAAGGTCTCAGCTAAAGGATGGGTGAAAGACTATAGGCTTTACTCACTATCACAATTTTACCAGAAGAATAAAGATAATGATATTAGTGTTATAGGTGTTATACGTGTAAGTGTAAGAGAGAAGAACTAAAATGCAACCACTGAGAACTTGCATTTATTAATGAAACCAAACATGCCTTTCTGATCTTTGGCTAAGATGTTTAAAGTAAGAAAACAAAACTGAATCTAGCAGTCAGCATATGTGCCCTGAGAATGCACTGCAGGAAGCAGTAGCTGTTGAGTGTTTCCTAGGCTGGCAGGTTGTCTTGTTTGTAAACTTAAATTTAGGTGCTTCTGCTAAGCACAGAAGTCATAAATTTCTATTTGAATAACAACCTAGAGAAGTACAATTTTAAGACCAACAGACATATTTCAAAGGAATAAATACACATAATCACTCATAAATACAAAATACATACAGTATTTCACCCAAACATGCCACAGTGGGTGTAGGGACACACGGTCCTGCTCTGAACTGCAGAGATGGCAATGCCCATGTGGGCTGGAAGAACCAGCCCTGGCACAGCAGCAGCTCTGACCTAGCCAGAGCTCCAGAGGAAGGATGCTGGAGCATCCCAGTCTCCAGCTGTCTGATGTCACTCCCTGGGGCTGGTGACAGCAGCTGCCCTGGGAAAGCAGTGCCCTGGCTGCAGTGGAGTCACTGGTGAAGAGGAAAGTCACCTGCACAGCAGGCAAAAGGAACAGAAGGTGACAGGGTCTTCATGCAGAGCTAAGGACCACCAAGCCCTGTGCTGCAAAAGAGAGAAATCTCAAGAGGACTCTCAGGGGAGCACTGGGTAGAGACTCCCATAGGAAGGAAGTCTGGAAACCTCTGGATCTCTGGCAGTCCTTTCAGGCTGCCTGAACCTGCCACAGTGTTAGTATATACTACACATCCAAAAAGAGTTAAAAAGCCCACATGGTCATTATATAGGTTTTGTAATGATTGCTGTATCCTAAAATGTACCAATTATTTTGATATGAAACACTTTTTCCTTCACTACTAGCCTTGTAGACTTGACAGTTTTTAAATATATTTGTTCCCTGTTCAGTGTTTATTAAATAAAAACACCATTACAAAAGCACAAACTGAACTTGCACACTGCATTGTCCATGGAGCAGCAATCATGATTAGGTCCTAAATGTAGTCTGTGACACTCAGTCAATAAGCACTGCTTGGTCATTTGCACCTGCCTGAAGCTTAGGCTTCTTTGCTTTTAAGTTAGGACCAGAGCTGGGCCGTTTATGTTCCTGTGATTTCTTCACCACTGCACCCTGGACAGTCTTTGATCCAGTCTGGGCATTTTCTCTGCTTCCTTTTGAATTTGAAGACTGAGATGGTTTGACCTGTAAGATTTAAGAGTTCAATTAAAATTCTAAAATTGTTTTCCTCCTTTTTCCACATTCCCACACAAGACAGAAGATATTTATGAGGTTGACTGCATTACTACAAAACATGTTTTGAGCAGATACCAAATCATTAAATTAAGCTCTAATGGAGAAGATACCTGTATGGCAAATCAGACCAGATCTAAATACCTTGAAAAAGCTTTTGCTGTTTGTTATCCTTTCTATGGTGATGATGTGTTGTCCGTCGTTTTTCAGCAGCCGGGCTTTCGGTCCTACCTTCAGGTAGGATATTGTAGCAAAAGCTGTGAAGCTGAAATCCTCCCTGCATGAATAAAATCACTGTTACAAGGGAAGGCCTGAGACAAGCCAGAATATGCAGGGGGAAAAAATCCTAGAATCAAAGTTAGAAAAGACCTCTAAGAGTATCAAGTCCAACCATCAACCCAGCACTACCACTAAAACATATCCTCAGGTGCCATATCTTGGCACCTGACCACTGTTCACAAAACATGTGGATTAAAAAAAACATGTCCCAGGAATGGACTCCACCACTTCCGTAGGCAGCCTGCCTAAATCTCAACAACTCTCTCCATAAGGACAGGGACACATTAATCCTTCTGATGATGTTCCAAATAACAGCTTCATTCTGCTTTATCTATTCAAGTAGACAGTCAGGTGACTTAGAGCAACTCTGATTAACACTTGACTTAATTCAGTTTGTGGACCTTGACACACACAAAAAGCACGCAGATGCACACTTGTCAAAATGAGAAAAAGAAGATGTAATAAGTCATCTGCTAACCCTCTTAATAATGTTAAAAAAAGCTGTATGGAGAGATACAAAGAAAAATTAAGTCAAAATAAAGGGATTAGATATTTGTAGATATTCTTAAACTTATAAAATTATATGAGAAGACAAAACACATAGCACACAGGTTACAGAGGCAGCACTGTTGTTAGTTCCACTATGCTTCCTTAAAATTTCTGAGTACCACTTTCCATATTAGCCAGTTTTTCCTGATTTAGACATCGTGTGGGCAACCCCATTTGCTTTCCTTATCCATGGAATGTGAATGAGATCTGTATGAACTGCAGACTTCTCCAAAATTAATCCTGCTGCAGATTTAAACATTCTACCCGAATACAGAAGACCCCAGCTTTTTAAAATTGCATGAGACACAACACTTCAGCTGTTTCTCCCACTTTTAAAATGGAAATATAGCAATACTTGAAGGGTTTTTAAGAACACATTAAATGCATCTGAAATGAAAACAAGACTACAGAATGTATGCATTAATGTTATACAGAAGTAACAAGAGAGCAAGGAAAAATTACTACTAAATGTTAAAAAACCAAAACAAAGAAAACAATCTTACATACTTCAGATACTGCTGCAGCAGTAAATGGGCAATAATTCTCTCCAGCTCCTCTCGAGTGTGCTTGGGTGGAGTAACTTCAGGGACCCTGAATTTGGACACACCTTTCCCAGACCAGGCATCGATTAATTTCAGTGGGGTGAGCTTCTCACTCATGCTGTCAGCTTGCTCAAGGATCTTTATTAGATCCCTGCAGTATCCTGTTACATCCATCATCTCACATTCTGCAAATAAAAGCCAAGGAACATTTAAATAGAAAGCTCTTTGAAGTTATAGTTATATGTAGCTATAAATACATATATTTGTGCTATATAATAGCAAGGCTTTTTTTGTTTTGCTTTTAAACTAACTTGGCAACAGTAGGCCACAAAAACTGATGTTCATAATAAAATCTGCACCCTGAAAACAGTCAGTAATACAAGCACAGGTCACAAAATTTGCTTAGTTTTTCTACACCAGTATTTCATTAAATCAACTTTTCCCATGTTCTCTGTCCTTTACCTACCCTTCTCTCTACAGCAGTTATCACACATTCTGTTGCAGTTTGCAGAATCCCACACCTCATCGAAGTGGTGGGCTATGAGCACCCGGCGACACCTGAAGAACAGAGAGCAGAGGGGAGCTATAGATCCCAGGTGGATATGTAACACCTGCCTTATACAGCATGAAAATGGCAAAAAAGGTCCTAGGTACAGCTCAGCTCTCAAAACAAGCACAAAGAATTTCCAGAGGAAAAATCAGAGAACAAATACAGCAACACCAGTATTCCCTACCAGCTATGCCAATACTGGTGTAGGAACAGTTTGGTTGAAGCACAAGAGTATAAATCTGCAGTTTCAAGAGAATGAAAAATGGTAAGAATATGAACTCATTGCTACACTGAGGCCACAAAAGGCTTTACTCAATGCACCAGTTGTCCACAACATGGAGACAGATGTTTTCCATGAAGCATTCCAAATACCAGTGAGGCAGATGAAACAGCAAACACATGTGCATTCCTATGTGGCCATTAAACACTGTAGCTTAGAGTCAAAAACACAGAACTCCATTATTTCCTCTGACTGGGATTTCAAGTCCAAACAGTGTTTGTTGCAGATATTTCAACTCGACATAACCACTTCCAAAATTGTATCCTGAAGCTGGCAAGCTTGATCTTATTTTTATGGGTGGTTTTCTTTGGTGATGGATTAATTTTGGGTTTTTTTCAGGTTTTTCATTTTGTTTTGTGTTTTTTTCCAAATTCCCCCTAAAAAACCCCAAAAAATTAGCCCATTTAAAAACTAAGCAATCAAGCACAACAGTAACTTACTTGTTCATATTTTGGCAATAAGACACCATATCATACAGCTTCTCTTGGCCAACATTTTCCATCACCACCATTGAGCTGATTCTGAATATATCTCCAAACCCATAGTACAAAATGCAGTCAGCTTTTTGGTCATCTCTACCTGCAATGCATTAAAATGAACAGATAATTGCAATCTCAACCTATTGCCCCCCAAATTCCTTGACACCACATAGATTCAAATCTGCCTTTAAAAAAGTAATTAGATAAACAAGATAAAAAAAACTCAAAACACTTCAAAATGTCTTTGGGTGCAGAGTTTGGCCATAACATGTATTTAGTGCTGCTGAACATTGATCACTCCTTAAAATGCCCTGCTCTAGACTCCCCATCCCACTTGTATTTCTGAAATTCATACAGTGATTAAACATCATCTAGAGGCAATCTGAGCAGATCACACATCCCAGGTGCTATACAAAATAAAAAAATTAAAATTGTATATCAAATCTGTATCATTTTATTCTGGTAAGCCACAGAGTTAATAGAAAATCAAGTATTTAAAAAAATGCTGAGTGGAGGTCTAGATACCCAGTTATTCTTTGTTACATTGCAGTAGAGGCCTGGTCATGAATGCAGTTTATATTTAAAGCCTCTTTACAGAGGCAGTTGCATTACACCCTTTGAAAACTATCTCAAAGGCAAGAGACCTAGCACAAATGCCCAGAAAATTGAAGGACAGTTTTACTGGTGTAATGGATGTAAATGGCAACTTTGCAAAAGCCCCTTTCTGCAATACCTGCACGTCCACTCTCTTGGTAGTAGTTTTCCATGGACTTGCTCATAGAGTGGTGAATTACAAACCTCACATCAGGTTTATCAATTCCCATGCCAAAAGCAACAGTTGCCACTACAACCTGTGAAAAAGAAAAATATTAAGAAATCAAGATACCAAACCACAATTTGTTTAAATAAGACATTAAGTCCATGTAAAGTATTTACTTAACCTGGATTTGATTTGTTGCCCATCCTTTATGAACTTTGGTTTTATATTTAGCATCCATGTTTGCATGATAAGCCCCTGCTTTGATTCCCAGTTTCTGCAAACTCACAGTAACTTGCTC